TGGGGTTTGACCTCAAAAGAGTGTGGGCACTGTCCCTGAGCTCTTTTTCTCCAGGCTAGCACTCTACCACTTTGAGCCGTAGCTCCACTTCTGGTTTTCTGGTGGTTAATTGGAGATAAAGAGTCCCTCCTCTGACTTTTCTGCCTGGGCTGGCTTTGAACCAAGATCCTCAGATCTTAGCATCGAGTACCTAGGATTACATACTTGAGCTACCAGCACTTGGCTTTGTGTGAAGTATTTTAAAAAGACAACTGTATTCCTAAGCTATTTTGAGTTGACAAATGATCATATGAAAAATAGGAAAAAACAGAGGAAATAAAGATTTTCATTTATGAATTAATGGAAGGCAAAAATAAAAGGAATATGATCAAAGGAGATAGTTTGCAACTATGAAAATAGAACATGGAAACCTGTTGAAATGACTTTTGGGAAGAAAGAGCTACAGAAAAGATGAGACTGACTGGGATATGTGGAAATGTAGCTGAGATAAGGAGGATTGAGGTTCTAGGCCAGCGTAGGAACAAGCTTGCTTTAGAGACTACATCTCCAAAGAAAAAAGCTGGGTGCTGTGGTGCAGGCTTGTCATCAGTTATGGAGAGAAAATAATAGAATCACAGTCCAAGTTAACCCGGGGAAAAATCAAGACCCTATCTCAAAAATACAGAGCAAAATGAGCTAAAGACATGGCTCAAGTGAAGAGTCACTTGCCAAGCAAACATGAGGCCCTGAGTTTAAACCCTAGTACCAAGAAAGAAGAAAGGGAAACAAGAAAATGAATGGAAATGTCATAGAATGCCTTCTTGGCCACAAAAAGAAATTCAAAATCTAAGTTAGAAAAGCTGTACATGAAAACTTTGCACTCAGTATATTTACAATTCAGAGTGTACATCCCCCCCAAAATGCACCAATACCTTTTAAATTAACATGCAAAATCTGCACTAAAATCTAATTCTTCAACTTGACTTTTTAACAATTTGAAATACTTACAGTACACTCTTGCATCTCTTGTTCCTTGGTTGCTAGTCGCATTACAAGGATGTTCTCTCTTCGTGCAGATTCCTGCTGTTGCTGCTTTAGTTTTTCTTCAGACTCCCTTAAGCCAGTTACATCATTTGCTGATTAAAAGAAAAATAATCCAAAATATAAACATGATTTGAAGATAAAACTCAAGTTCTAACTTCCCACAAAGAACAATAAAAAACATCAAATTTTCAGTCTTTACCCTTTCTTATAACAAGGGTATTTGTTCTTAACTTAGTGATCCACAACTACTGAATTATGTTCTTAAAAGTTTATCTTTCCATGAATCAGTGACTCATGCCTATAATCCTAGTTACTCAGGAAGCTAAGGTCTGAGCAGCACAGTTTGAAGCTAGCCTATGAAAGAATGTCCATGAGACTCATCTCTAATCAGCCTCGGAAGACCAGAAGTAGAGCTATGGCTCAAGTGATAGAGCACCAGTCTTTTAAGTGAAAAGGCTGAGGGACATCGCCCAAGCCTTAAGTGCAAGTCCCAGCACAAGAAAAAAAAATCAAATCTGTTCCCACCAGAACACAGGACACATTACACTCAATTTTCATAGCATATGATAAAAATTCCTAATTAATAAATAAAGAGTTCGACAGTGACACTTCTATACATGCATACAATGTACCCCATCAACCTCAGTCCTCTCTGTCACTTGCCCTTGTTCCTTCTTTGCCTTCTTAAAAAGATTTCAACAGATTTCACCGCTCTATTTTCAGATGCATATGAAGTACTTCAACCATACTCACTCTCCTTCTGTTATCACCCTGTCCTGGAGCCCATTTTACTTATCCTGTACACTCATTTTTTAATGTATGTTAATTGTACCAAGGGAATTTTTACCATGGTTTTGCAATGCATATATTTTACTTGAATCAGAGTAACTCTTGATCTCTCTTTGGCCCCTTACCCCAATGACTAGTCCTTTTCTAACCTATTCAATACAAAATGCCATTTATCACATGGACAATTAGTACCTGAACTTCCTTTTTTATGTGGTAGAGTAATCAAACCCATGGTTTCATGCATGCTAGGCAAGCACTCTACCACTAAGCCACATTAGCACTCTACCACTAAGCCACATTCCCAGCCCAGTACCTGAGACGTTCTAGTATGCTATTCTACTGAAAAGTTACAAACTGAAATTAAATTGTTGGTATTATTTTTTAGCAAAATTTGAAAAATCTAAATATACAGTTATATCCTAATTTTAAATTTTCATAAAGCTAGTACTAGTACTTCTACGTATCTCTCTTCTAGACTTATAACTCATGTTTCAATTCAAACTGCTCTATAGAAGACTTAAGCACACTCAAAAGAAACTCTGAAGTAGTTGTGAGTTACTCTCATATATACTCTTGGAATCTTGCTAAGAACAGACAGGCCCTTATAACTTCTCAGAAAATATTTTATCTCCTGTAGCTTATTTTCCAGCTCAATACAGTGCCAGCACAGAGCTCTTAAAAGCGGAATCAAAATTACAATTGTTTCAATAACACCAATTAAAAGCATTTGTAATAAACTTAAAACAATATATGTGCTTAACATAAAAAGAATACATTCAGGGCTGGGAAGGTGGCTCAGTGGTAGAGCGCTTGCCTTGCATGCTTGAGGCCCTGGGTTCGATTCCTCAGCACCACATAAGCAAAAACAAAAAAGCCGGAAGTGGTGCTGTGGCTCAAGTGGTAGAGCACTAGAGCTGAAGAACTGAGGGACAGCGTGCAGGCCCAGAGTTCAGGCCCCACGACCAGACCCCCCCCCCCAAAAAAGAACACCTTCATAATAAAACAGATTACTCTATGTTTGTAGCAACGAACTAAAAGGAGATGTATATATTAACAATCTGTAGAAAGCTAAAACATAAATAAAACTTACAGTTAAGATCTGTGTACTTGCCCTCCAAAGCTTGGACGTATGCTTCATACTGTTTCCATCTAGTATAAAAACAAGTCCATATTAGTGTGACATTAAGATTGCTTTTATTAATGGTACTAAAAGCCATATCTTTTTTTTTTTTTTTTGGTCGGTCATGGGGCCTGATCTCTGGGCCTGGGCGCTGTCCCTCAGCTCTTCAGCTTAAGGCCAGCGCTCAAGCACTTGAGCCACAGTGCCACTTCCGGCTTTTTTCATTTTGCTTATGTGGTGCTGAGGAATCGAACCCAGGGCCTCAGGCATGCAAGGCAAGCGCTCTACCACTGAGCCATCTTCCCAGCCCCAGTCCATGATATTCTTATCTCCAATAAACCACCAGAAAAGCAGAAGTAGCGCTGTGGCTCAAGTGGTAGAGCGCTAGCCTTGAGCTGAAGACGTGAGGGACAGCACCCAGGCCCAGAGTTCAAGCCCCATGACCAACCAAAAAAAAATATATATATATATATACATATATAGGTTGTAATAATGACCAGTGATATAGTACTATAAAATAGAAGAGGGAAAAAGCATTAGAACAGCAAATTAAAAGACTACTTGAAGGGCTGGGAAGGTGGCTCAGTGGTAGAGCACTTGCCTTGCATGCATGAGGCCCTGGGTTCAATTCCTCAGCACCACAAAAGCAAAAAGAAAAAAGCTGGAAGTGGCACTGTGGCTCAAGTGGTAGAGTGCCAGCCTTGAGCTGAAGAGCTGAAGGACAGCACCCAGGCCCAGAGGACCAGACCAAAAAAAAAAAAAAAAGACTACTTAAAGCACTCAGTAATTCTCAAATTACATAAATGTAGTAGAATTCATCATTCATTTTATGATATCTCATTCTCTAACTTAAGATAGAAACTTCTGTGACGTATAATCTAATTACTCAGTTAAGCAGGGTACTTGTAATCCTAGCTAGTCAGGAGGATGAGATCTGAGGATCACAGTTGGAAACCAACCCTAGCAAGAAAGTCTGTGAGATTCTTATCTCCAATTAACTACCAAAAAGCTGGAAGTGGAACTGTGGCCTTAAGCAAAAAAGTTCAGGGACAGTTCCTAGGCCCTGAGTTCAAGCCACAGGACCAGCAAAATAATAATTTAAAAATTGCTCATTTAAACTGGGCGCCACTGGCTCATGCCTGTAAACATATCTACTCAGGAGGCTGAGATTTTAGGATTGAAGGTAGCTCAGGTGGGAAACTCTGTGAGACTCTTATCTCCAATAAACCATTCAGAAAAAGCCAGAAGTATCACCGTGTGCTCAAGTAGTAAAGTACTAGCACTAGCCTTGAGCATAAAGCTCAGGGACAATGCCCAGGCCCTGAGTTCAAGCCCCAGTACCAGGGGAAAAAAATAGCTCACTTAAATATTAGCCATTTTATTTTTATTTTTTTATTGTGAACATACTGCGTACAGAGGGGTTACAATTACATGGGCAAGATAATGAATACATTTCTTATCAAGCATTGTAGCCTCCTCCTTTGTTTACCCTTCACATCCCTTCTCAGCCTCCCCCCCCTAAATATTAGCCATTTTAAAAAGCCATACTCTTCAGTTGGACCACAAATTCCTCCTATAAACTACAAGAGTCTTTTGTAGCAGTCATCATATGTAGGTTTATAGCATACACACATTAGTGACTAAACTTAAAGTATGGACATAGAAGGAGGATTTCAAGGTTAGTAAATAAAACTCCAAAAGAAAAAGTAGATACTCTTATTATTAAAAAAATTTTTCTTGCCGGGCGCCGGTGGCTCATGCCTGTAATCCTAGCTACTCAGGAGGCTGAGATCTGAGGATCTCGGTTCAAAGCCAGCCCAGGCAGGAAAGTCCGTGAGGGTCTTATCTCCAATAAACCACTAGAACACTGGAAGTGGTGCTGTGGCTCAAGCAGTAGAGCCAGCTCACCTTGAGCTGAAGAGTGCAGGGACAGCGACTAAGCCTAGAGTTCAAGCCCCACATCTGACACACACACACACACACACACACACACACACACAATTTTTTTTCCCTTTAAAACATACCTTTTTAGGAAGAGGTTCTTCGTTGGTCATCTTGAATCCTAAAAAAAAAAAAGACAACAAAAAGTTCAATTGCTAGTTTCTTCCAATTAAAGCAAAACAAAAAAAAATGTTATTTTAAGCCAATTATTAACCTAAGTGAAATGGTAAATAGTTAATCTGATTTATATAAACCTTTTATTTTAGAACTGCTTCATCTATTTATCAGGATCATTTATGGTGCTGGGACATTGAACCCAGCCCTACCTCCAACATAAAATAGACATTAAAAAAGGTACAAACACATTAAGAGTTTTTGTATAATCTATACCCAATTTCCTTTGTTAGTATCTTCCATTATGTATGTGATCTAACATTATTTCCTTATAAAGTATTGATGTCTTGGGATGCTGCTATAAAATGGCAAAATACAAATCTTGTCTAAGTCTAACTTTGTGCTGATGTTAGATATTGACTTCTGGAGGGAAGCTAGGCATGTTGCTGAAGGGATAAAGAAAGGCAGCACTATTCAAAACCATGAGACCCTATCTGAAAAATATTCTAAAGCAAAATGGGTTAGGAGTATGGCTCAGTGTCTAGATAAACTATCTTGAATTTAATTTCCATAGTGAAAATGAAAAAAAAAAGGGGAGGGGGGAGGGAAATATCAGGATTTTTTTTGGGGGGGCGGGGGGGTTGCCAGTCCTGGGGCTTGAACTCAGGGCCTGGGTGCTGTGCCTCAATAGTTAAATGGATTCAAAACAAAAGGCAAATTAGAATAGGCTTAAATGTTAAAAAGCATCTGCAGCATTCAATTCAGTCAACAGAACCTAATTCCCATCACATTCACCTTGCATGACTGTGATAAGAAACTTATGTTCCTCAGGCATTTCTTTTAGCCTGGCAAATAGTTCTAAAAGAAATGTACTCGTGACCTGATTTATATAACCATAACTCCTCTGTACATTACCTTTATTATAAAGTTTCTTTCTTTCTTTCTTTTTTGGTCCGGTTGTGGGGCCTGAACTCTGGGCCAGGGCACTGTCCCT